ATATATATATATACATATATATATATACATATATATATATATATACATATATATATATATATACATATATATATATACCATTAAATAGCAAATAATATGTTGATTTAAGCAAAATATCCTACCAAATAGTAAAAATGACAACTTTAAATCTTATAGAAAATTACATCGATGGATTTGAGAAGTATTTAAACCTAATTTAGCCTAAATCCTACCACATAGCAAAAATAAAAGCTTTAAGATAAAATAAAATATTTTGAGATTTTATTAATTTGATGTTTAATTAATTAATAATTAATTACAATATTAATACATAAATCTTCAAATTTTGATTATAATTTATAATTTAAAATTCATAACGTTTTAATAAAATGGTGCACGCTATTTGTGCCTTGCGTCGCCTTTGCCCATACATCGCTATTTTACGCTATTGACATGCATGATTGTAATAAATCAATAAATTATATAAAATTAATTGTAATCAAATCGATGGTGGAACCTACCTTTTCTCTTGAAAGCCCTAAGATCACTCACCTTTCTTTACACAACTTTCCTATCTGTCGATGACAAATTTAATGTAAAGACAGTTTCGGTTATTTGACACAAGTGATCAATCAGATTATATAAGTCCACACATATATTACTATCCTATGCTCCATTGTGACATTTTATCCAAGACAGATCAATTTTCACCTCTAGATTTTAACGAACCTTCTAAACCTCTAATTAATAGCCAATCAATTATCAGTGATGAAGCCCAAGATAAAAATACTTGGTAATAAGAGTTAAACACAAAAACAAACATGATTGTATTAAACCAAATCAATATAAGTTCTACATATTACATCCAACCCTTAGAAAAGAGTTTAGCTCACCATATTTGAGAGAGCACAAAGAAATTCATGATGAACAATAAGAACAAGAAGAAAAGAAAAGAAAACTCTAGGAGATAAGCTCTCGATTGGCATCGTGGAAATTTCCATCTTATTTCTCACGCTAGTCGCCATCAAAATCTCTCAAGAGCCTCTAAAAAAGTTTGAAAAAAAAAAATCCAAAAAAGGTCTAAAAGAAAATTTGCATCAATACCCTTCAAACTTTAAAAAACATCTCTTAAACATTCCTTAAAGAATCCACTCTCAAAAAGGTAAATTTCAACTCCATAGTAGGGAAAAATGAAGCCAACACTGGATCTAGCGCCTAGACAGGGGACATGGTGCCTAGGTTCCAGTCTCTTTGTTCTCGGGCACCAAAAATCCAATTTTACATTAGGCCGCCACCTTTGCTAGCTATCACTTGCTGCTAGCCATCACTAGCTGCTAGTTGCCATCACAGACCACCCACCACCACCCATGATCGGTCACCAACCACCAGCCATCATCAACCGTCAACCAACACCAAGAGTCGGCCACCATCAGCTACCACTGGCCACTCACCCGTTGTTGTCCACCACCGACCCCAGGTTTTACGCTTAATTACTTTTACTTCAAACCAAATAAAAAAATAACTCCTGCATTTGTACATTACTCAACTAAACTAATAAATATTTTCAATATGCTACTTTTACTTTGCATTGTATTCATTTTACTCTATATTTTTCTCAAAAAAAAAAATTAAAAAATAAAAAATCAGACCCTAAGAAAAATCAAACAGACATTGACACTACAACAAAAAAATTTACAGTGCATCCTTCCTTGTCTTTAAGCTTTGAAGCAACAAACACTATTGAGTAATATTTCATGCAAACAGCCATTGTTTAAAATTTTAGCCAGTCCAAAATAGATAACGGATGCCAACTTAGCAGCATACGTATAAATGAACTTCCTGTTTAGATAATATTTGATGCCAACTTAGCATCATACTTATAAATAAAATAATAGTTTACATATGTCCGAATACAACCTCAAAAAGACATTTTCACATAACCCGAGTACTCTTAATGTTTTTAAAGCTTAGAACTATACCATTCTATTGCTTTTTCTATCAAAGAAAGGATGGCTAAGCAGTGCGACCTTAAAAGGCATTAAAAAGATTGAAAACTCAAATATTTCAAAACTCTAGCCAGCCAAAGAAGCCTCCACCATGAAATAGACAATTGATACTCATATCTTATTCTAATTATTATATATTGCATAAGGTTGCATTGTAAAGCTTAAATAAGTTGCAAATATGCAACACAACAATAGGTTGTGTAGTTAATGTCATCATAGATGAAAGAAAAATAGGAATAAATGATCAAAATGATCCCTAGTTTTGTAGACGTGTCCATTTTAATTCTAGTATTCAATTTAGTTCCTAAACCAAATCTAAACTAGGCTGGTTCGACTATCAACTTCGCCATTTACTTGGATGAAAACTAGTATTGGAACACTTTTCATTAAGGCATTTTATACTTTTTAGGGTTAATCTCACTACATAATACCTACTCAAATTAATGGAATTAACACTAGAAAGTGTAAACTATCATCATAGAAAACTTCCCTCCAATTTTTGTTTAAACAAATGACAAAGTTGACAATATGACAAAATTATTTCAGATTTGGCGCGTAGGCTAAATTAAATACTATAAAAAGTTAAAGAATAAAATAGATACAGCTAAAAAGTATAGTAACCATTTTGTTCATTTACTTAAAAATATATAGTTAAACAAGTTCATCAATAGCCAATACACATTTTGCTGGAGTCCCCGGTTAGTTGTAATTAATCAAATAGAAAAAGCAATCAGGAACTTGAATGAATTAATTAAATAGAAAAGTTGCTAAAAAAAAGAGTAAAATTCAGGTCAACAACCTGATTTCCTTTCCGATGCACATTTTCTTGGAATCCCCGGTTAGGTGTAAACGGGCCTAAAAAGTCTGTTTGTTCATTGGAAGGGTTTTCTGAAGGCATCGGTGTCTCACACAATTGTTCTGCAAGTACATGATGCTGAGAAGGCACACCATTTTTAAGATCTTGAAAGGAATCACCTATTACAGCAGTAGGATCTGGGTGATGAAACCTACAATGGCTTGCAAACTTGCAACCACCAGTACGCATGTAAAATGGACACTCTTTCTCACCCTGCAAATGGTCAGCAGGAAATGACCAAATTCTGAAAGGATAAGTTGATTTTAAAAACATGTGGAATAAAAACAGCAACCTAGTAACGTTCAAACTACTGTATTTCGCACAATTGTTAATCATTATGTAAAATGGCTGAATTAAATGGAAAAAGATCATACCAGGCGAATTGGCAGTCCCAAAAAGTTTAGCCGTACATGGTGAAGGGATCTACAGTCATTACCAAATTTGCAACCTCCAGGCAATAAATAAAACTGCATGGAAAATCATACAATGACCAAAGCAAAAATCAAGAGACAAGGCAGAGAAAAGATAAGGGAAGTGTTTTTATAGTACCCTGGAAAAGATTATCTCAAAAAGGACACCGGATCACCAAATCAAATTTAAAGAGAGTCAACCATGACTCCATGAGTAGCATAACTATATGATGCATCTCAAAAAAAAAACAAGAACATCACATGCATGCTAAGTGCAAGTATGATAGCTAGCTGTCGTGCTAGATAGATGGTGTTTGTTTTTATGAGTTACGCTTATGCGAGAGAGAGAGAGAATCTGTCTGCTAGGATCATATGCATATACTTCGCACATACCATACAGCATATGCAAAAGATAATCTTGCTCTCCAAAGAATTTCCATAAATCTAGCGAGTTAAACTCATATCCTACATTAATAAGACAAACTAGGTATTTCCATGAGGCTAATGACAATACAGGATTTGGGGAAAGGCTAATGCATGCAACCTTACGCTGACTCCTTGATTCGGATCAATGACCTGTAGGATAAAATGAAGAAACTAGATCATTGTTCCAAATCCATTCTCATTCCAGGCCTACCTCCTTCAAGTCAAAAACACTAGTTTATAGTACCTTCCTAAGACATGCAAATCATGATGGAAGACGACATGTTTATACACAGCTCATCTACTTGAGATACATGTCAGATATCATCTTCAATGTCGATAGAGTTTGGGTAGATGAGTTCATCTTAAACTCGATAGTAGGTCTTGAACATAATCTGCTAAAACAAAAGCTCAACAGATTAAGCTTTAAGGTGAATAAGAATTAAAACCAATTTAGTAAAGTCTCGCCATTATGATGAAAGGTAAGACTCAAAGATTAACAATCCTCGTGAATAGGCAGAGAAAAACTTTACTTTGTTCCCTAGGAGTCTTTGTTGGTGCTTGGGCAAAGCGAATTTTAGTAACTTAATGTTCAATGGATAAATGATCTTGGTCTCTTCCAAATTGCGTGCCAAATCAAAATGCACCCCGATTGAGGGAATTTTGGTTCTCTAATTGACTAAAGATTGGAGAATTGAGCCACAACATCTTTAAGATTTATGCTGGTCCATCATTCATATGGCGATAATGGATACAATGATGGAGGCAATAGGTCCTGATTTTCGTGTTGTTCAACATATGAGTTTCATATGCTACTCTAAATTAATGTTTTGAGATCATTACCAATGGTGATATGAATTTGATCATTGAATTTATGTCAAAACCTCAAGATTAGCGTCGATGAACATGGACATTATCAAGATTGATTGATAGTTCAATAGGAACTTTGTCGTAGTCAAATGATGTAAGAGCTAGAAGAATCAATGCCCTATTCAACTCTTATTGTGCAAATATCACAACACGAATCTTGACATGTTTGATCGAACAGTTAGAATTAATCTATATTTATTTTTGTAAAGTAAAACTGATTTAGAATGAGAGGGGGGGTGGTTGGTTAATTAATTTTCCTAAGTGGATGTCCAATTGGGAAATTAATTTAAGAGGCAGAGAAAGAGATGGGGGCCGACCAAAGGAGGGGAGAGAAGTGTCTAGATTCAAAATTAAAACAACTTCATTTAGGAAAGAATAAATTTAGAAGGGAAAAGGGTAGGGTTAAAGCCAGCGGCTAGTAGGAGTGGATAGGGTTTAGGTTCCGCGGCGGTTTTTGGAGGGAAATTCAATTTTAGAATTTTGAATTTGAAATAGGAGGGAATCAAATTCAAAATGCTGAAATTAATTTAGCCATAGAGGTGGGAGTAATTGGTGGGAATGGAGACTTAATTAGGGGAGCATTAATGGGCCTCTTAATTAGGTGATTTAAAGCTTGTCAAGTGGGGAATCATAAATTAGGAAACATTATTTAAATCAAATCATATTGGAATTTGAAATAGGTTTGATTGGAATACTTTCCTAAAATAAGATAATTAATTTAGGAAAGGATTTGAAATTTAAATTCATTTGAATTTAAATTCAAAAGCTTTCCAAAATTAAAACAAATCCAAATAGGAAAGAAGGAACTAGGATGAGAGGGCTAAGGGAAGTGGCTGCTTGGTGGAGAAGGTGGCGGTTTGGTGGGGTTTTAGTGTGGAGATGGGGAGGAGACCGACGGTTGAAAGAAGGGGAGGGTGGTGGCCGACGGTTGAAAAGGAAAGGGGGTGGGTGGCCAGTGGTGGGGAAGAGGATGGGAGGTAGAAAGCCGGCGGCTAGGGAAAGATTTAGCAGATGGTTAAAGGCGAAGGAGGTGAGGGGTTAGAGAAAGAAAATAAACAGTGAGCCCCGACACTTCTTGCAGCTGACGGGTGATGAGTTGCCCTTCACCAAGGGACTTCAACCACGAGTCCGGACACATCCTACGGCTGGTGGGTATTTCATTGCCCTCACATAGGGACTTCTACTCTCCTAAGAACTCCCATTGCTCTCAAGAATAAAGTGTAGAAACATTTTTTTTATTAATTCATCATTGATCTAATACAAGAGCAAGGGCCTCTATATATAGGTTTTAAAAGAAACTAAAAGACAACTTTGCCCTTTGGGCTTATATAAGACAAGACCCTTAAGTAAGGGTAAAAACGAAAAATGCATAATTAAATAAAAAATTACAATTAATAAACTAAGATAAAATGGAGGGATCTAAGCCGTCGATCTTCATCTCTTTCTTTTATTAAAGTCCACCGTCGGATGCCCTTGTCAAAAACATGTTGATCCTTTTTTTTTAGATTATTCTGTAAAAATGCCAACAATACTTCATTTTTCACATCAAATAAATCATTTCATGTTGTAATGCATACTTCATGCAAGGTTGAAGGTGATTTGATTTATGAATCTTCTGCAATAACAATTTGAATTTGAACTTCCTTGATCACAACCACTCTAAGACAACATGGGGAGTTGTAGATCAAGCGGATGTAATTGAACCAATTTCTCTTGTTATTTGCTTGGTGAAACTCTAACCTTTTCATCCATTTATAAAGACTAGCCAAATGCTAAATTGAAGCCTTCAAATAATCCCAAGAGGATCATGTCATGATTTGGAGCACCATTGTAAAGGCTATAATTGGGGTCAAAAAACTTATCCCAAGTCACTCAAAATAATTCGGGTAAAAATTGACTAAGACCCTCCCTAGGCACTTGCCTTAGGTCCAAGCCACAATGACCTCGCACAAAATTGCCATTAAGGCAATCTGACTTCTCAAATTTATGATAGTATGCATCCACCCCTATTATGATAAAGGTTTGCATCACAATTCAAGCCAATTTAAGTTTGTGGTAGAGGGCTTTGTTGGGTAAGGGAATTAAATAGATCTACTTACTAGTAAGGCCACCCAACGAGATCACCAGCCTTAACTCCTATGTAGGAAAATTTGGTTAGAAATATAAAATTATTTGAAGAATCGTGGCATAAACAAAATTAAGATTGATTCTGGTCACAACATTTAAGCAAGGTCCGATTGAAATAATAAATTTATATTTTCTATTTCAACCTATTACTTAAAATGCATCCAACCACAATTGAATTCATGAATCTTGTATCACAATTCAAGTGATCAAGCCTGAAGAAACAACGAAGTTGCTTGCTATGGAGTGCAAATCATTTGATCATCGAAAGATGATAGTAGTATTAGTATTTAATGATAATAATAATACTATTTAATATTTACTAAAAGCTAGCATACCAAATATTAATATTTATGCACTTATGCAGATAGAAAAAAAGCAATTTGAATTATATCAACAATCACCATGGCACATTATGTCCCTTATTAGCTTAGAAATAAACTATATAATAAATATAATTAAATTAATCTAGCTCTTAGGAATCACCTCCGCATCAAGAAAAATATAAATTATTGTTAGAATTTGCTCCAAGCTTTTCATTTATTTCAACAATAAAACGAACTTTAATAATGTAAATTAATAAGTTTTAATGGGTTAGGCCAAGCCAAATCAAGCTAGCCCCCGGGCTTGCACAAAAACAAAAATGAGTAGATATGGCTATGTTATTTAACTCGAGGCTAATATATATATATATATATATATATATATAACTCGAGGCTTAGATGTTGAGCTCAGATCAAACATATACAAGAATGACCTAGGGTGCTAAAGCTCAGATCAAGCAAACACATAAATGACCTGGGGCTAAAAGCATCTTAGAAATATAATGATTTTCTCTCTTTCTTGAAAGACTTCACCCTCTCAAGTCATCTAAATATTTGTACTTTTATGGACAATATCCCTACTAAGGTAACTAAGCCTTGTTTGCTGATATATTATTTTATAAATGAAGTTGAAATCATATTGTAACACTAGCATGTGTTGATATTATAGTAGTGTACAATAAAATTGTACAATATGCAAACAACAAAATCAACTGAAGCGATGCAAGCAACACAATCGATTGATGAGCATGCAACAAAGTTATGTGCAATAGTGCGCGTTATGTCGCCAACTAAAGAGCATGTGAAGCTCCATGTAAATGTGCAAGAGATAATATTGCTTAGGCCGTTAAGAAGCAAGCATGAAAATTATTTAAAGAGTTGCATATGATAATGCTATCAAAGGAGCATAATTTGAAGCCACATGAGTGGTGTGAATGATGAAGCCAAGAATGTGAAGCTTGTTGGGATTTAATAATAAAGGCCAAAGCATATCCTATCATTGCATACTTGGAGCTTGTGCAAGTTGGCATCATGTCAAATTATTGTATACAAAAAGATATTATTGGGATGCCCCTCATAAGAGGTGAGTCTCCACCAAGAGTTCTTTGAGGTTGATGCTTATTTAAAAATGGAGTAAGGTCAACCCTTATTAAAGTAAAGAGGGCCGACTTTCATATCTCTCAACAAAAGGTGATGGATCCTCCAGACAAATGCAAACAAACTCATATTAGTTACATCAATAAGTAATAATGGGATGATTTTCTAATGAATGGTGTCAAATTGTTGCATGTCAGAATAGTAGTAAATTTTTTAAGTAAATTGTTCATCATGAGCACAATACTAAGTCTTGCACATTGTTAATTGAAACAAAATAACAACAAGCCAACCCATGGATTTAGCCTACAAAAGACCCCCCTTTGATGCCTAAGCCCACCTTGAAGGTGAATGAAAGCTAAAATCAATTCAACATAATTTACACTTTTGGATGAAAGAGTAAGAACTCAAAGAAGAATCATCCTCCTGAAAGTATAAAGGGAGCATTTACCTTGGCCCCTTAGGAGCATTTATAAGCGCTTGGATGAAGCAAGTTTTAGTACCATATAGAGTGTATGGTAGCTAGACAAGACATTTTGCATCTAAGATCCATATCAGACCAAAATGCCCCATGATTTAGGATTTTTTTATCTAGTCAAGTAAAGAGTGGTGAATGAAGTCATATCGGCTTTGAAATACACGTTGGAACATCACACCCTTAGTGATGATGGATGAATCAATTTTTTCATTTTTATTTTTATTTTTATTTTTTATTTTTTATTTTATTATTTTTTTATGATGGATGAATCAATGAAGACCCTAGGCCCAGAGATTAGGGTTGTTAGATATTTGAATCGGATGATCGAATCTAAAACACGGGAATTGAGGTTGGTATGATTATCATAATTGGAAGGATGAATTTATGTCAAAACCACAAGATTAGTGTCAATGAACATGTACATAATCAAAATTGGTTAATAGATCAACACAAATTTTGATGTGATCAAGCAATGTTGAAGTTAGGACAATTTGTCTTGTTGAACGCTAATTGCACAAAGACCATTGGGGGCACTAATCCTAACATCTTAGATCAGACGATTGGAATTAATCTAAATCTTTTTTGCAGGCCACATCAAGCATCATAGAATGAAAAATAATATTGTGTTAAATTGGTTGAAGCTTAAGGGTTAAATCACTAACATTATATTAAGGCAAGCCTATAAATAGTTTAACCAACCTCTATTAAGCTTCATTTTAGTTTTGTGGAATATGCTTGACCCCTAAAAAACTAACCTGCAAACATGTGTTCAAACATAGTCCATCATACATCCTATCAAAGAGAAAACATTCAATTAACTTGTATACGGAGAACAAGGCAAAAAACTACATATAACAAAGAGTACCAACCTAATTCACAGGTGAAGTATTTTCAAACTTCATGTACAATAAAAGATTTTTCACCTCATGCAAAATACTAAATATTTGTAATAAACATTAAGTGAAAAATCTCAATCATGTTGATTTGATAAGTGGTAAAAAATTCTTACACAAAATGTGCTTTCAACAACTCAATAACATGGTCAACTGTAACAATAACAGGATTAGTATTTCAAGGTCAAGATTTTAACATCTGATGCATGCAATAGTAGAAAACTCACAAAACCACTCATTTTTTTTTATAGAAGAATTGAGAAAGTAAAGGCTAACCTTACATTCTATTTGTCCAACATTTTCTGAAGAAGTGATATTTTCTGGTCCTCGAGCACCCTTGACAAGAAATCCAAGAAAATCTCAGTAGATAAAGTTTAGACCAATGGTAGTTCTACAGAGTAGAAATATTAAAATTTGAAAGTTGTGAGTAATAATGAATCCCAAACACGAATAAATTTCCTAGAAGCAACGAAATGGTAAAGCATGGCTATGAGAACCACCGAGGAATAAATTCCTTGAATTTCGTGAGCTATTTCTGTCCTGAAACAGCTACTAGCTTTTTTGCCACGTTTTCCTAAATATATATATATATATATATATGATTAGAAACCTATAATGTTTGCTTACACAAAAATCAAGGGGCGTCAACATGGTTCATGATTCATGTCCATGGAGAAAAATAACTAAAATGAATGTAAATTTAAGCAAACACATTTACATCCCCAATAATTTGAACAAACAAACATCATCAACGTTATTAAGAATTTAAGATATCAAATATGAAGTCTCACTGCCTAAAGGTGAGGTGGAAGGTATATAGAGCCTTAGCTTCTGATAGGAAACACTTGTAGATCTCAAGTATTTCCTATCAATTTTCGAAAAACAGCGAGAATTCTTCACAAAAATCCACACAAAATCACAAAAACAGTAGATAATTTGTATTATTTGATAAAAGGGAAACGGAAATAGCAAGATACAATTGATCCTCTATTCGAGAGGATGAACGATCTCTCTCAAATCTCTAGACGCCGTTAGAGCCCAAAAGAAAACCTAAATCTAAGATATCTCAAATTTCAGCCAAATTCAAAATGCCCTAACCCTAGGAAAACAAACTATTTAATTCATACAATTCAAAAGGAAATATCTAAACAATCCCTACATTCAATTTCCCTCCTAAACTTTCACAAAAAACTTTCCAAAAATGCTCTGTTAGCTCCTACGGTGGGATCGACGAAATTAGAGGCATACGATTTCTGCCTCTGTGTCGCATGGGCCAGTCCCGCAGGACCGGCTGGATCAGTCTAACAATATTTCCCTCCCAAATATCCATCTTGTCCTCAAGGTGGAAATATGCTCGTGTTACCGTGGAGGTGGCTATCCTTGAAGTGGCTGAAAAACCTTACCGAATTGCTGAATCAAGGGCTACACTGAAATAGAAATATCCCCTCCCTCCTCCAATCTGATCACCTCCAGCATGTGTAGTCCCACCAGATAATCTTCCCCCACCTCTCGTATGCTCCTAACCATATTCTTAAGTAATGGCATGTCTTTGGATAGCCCTGCATCTCCCCTTATAACCACCTTTCTCCAATCCACCATTAATTCCATCGTGAGTGCTCTCCATTTGTCTTTGGTTTCCCCTAAGGTTTGCAACCACTTCATCCCCAGGATGACATCAGTACTTCCTAATTCTAGTGGGAGAAAATCATCCCTTACCTGAATCCCCTAGATGGTCAACACCACTCCTCTACAGATCCCCTGACCTTTCTCCACCTTCCTTGTACCCGTCATCACCCAATAATAACTGGTGTCCACTAATTTCACTCTCAGTTGGTTGACGACCTGAGTGAAAATAAAATTATGGGTAGCCCCACAATCAATCAATACAACCACCTCCATACCTGTTATTTCCCCCTTCACCTTCATTGTATGATTCGAAGCAAATCCTACTACTGAATTCAGGGAGACCTCCGTCACATCCAGATGCAACTTGTCATCCATCTCTCTCTCACCTCCCTCCTCAGTTTTGCTAGTCATCACAGATATTGAGAACCTGAAGAGTTCGATCCATACACTTATAACCTATAGTGTATTTCTCATCACACTGAAAACATAACCCTTTTGCTCTCTTCTCTTGCATCTCCTTCTTTATCAGCCTCTTAAAATTTTTCCCACTCCCTCATCCTACTGGCTTCTCCCTGGTGGTCTCATTAATGTTGCCTGATGCAGGCTCTTGGGTGCTAGAAGAGTGGTCGTTGTCTTGTAAGAGCCTCCTGAGCTGCTGCTCCTAGCTCTCTTCTTTAAAATCTTCGAATTTTCCACCAACTGTGCCAACTTCATGGCCTCCCCCAAGTCACGAGGGAATTAGAACTTTCTCTGATCACTACCTTCAGCCCCTTCATGAAGTTCCCCTACAATACCATATTTGGTAATTGCTCCACCCTACTGGCCAGATGCTCAAGCCGTTCACGCTAGTCTGGTATTGATCCCTCCTGCACCAGAGCAAAGAACTGTTCATAGAAATCTCCTCCCTGGTCGGTTTCGAAACGTTCTATTATGCAGTCCTTGAATTTTTCCCAACTCCTGATGGGTCTCCTCTGGTCTCTCCACTGGTACCATGACACCCCTTCCCCTCTAAACACAAGCCTGTTGTTGTCAGATTCTCCTCCTCTGTTAGCCCATTAACGGCGAAGTACCTCACCACCTTATAAATACACTCATACGCACCCTCCCCTTCGAATATGGGCATCTTTAGCTTCCTCACCTTCTGATCTCCCCCGTTTCCCCTTATTCCTCCATAGCTTCCCCTCTCCCAAGTGTTTGGCCCTCCCCACATCTCCCGATCTTCCCTTGCTCTATCATAACCCAAACCACCTTCGAATTCCCCTCTCCTTCCTACAAATTCAACACCTCGGCGGCCATAATGTCCCTCCCGGCATTCCCGATCAGCACCCCTTTGCTCCGCTCCTCCATACTCATGCCTTTCCCCATACCTACCTCCTACATCCTCCCTCTAGAAAGGCTCCATATAGGATTTTCTTCTTTCTCCCTCCACGATCTCCACCTCATCTTCCTCCCTACAAATTTAAGAATTTGTGTTCTTCCCTTCCAACCCTTTTGCCACTGAAGCTGTTGTTTGGTTATGGAATTCTAAAATTTTCTTCATCATATCACGGAGATCGGCTACTTGTCCTTCCATGGAAGAAAGTCTGTCCTCCACCGTTGTCTTGATTTGGTTCATCTCCCCTTCAAGTCTTTCTTCTAGCGCATCCACTTTCTTAGACACTATCTTTATCAGGATCTTTGTATATTCAAAAAATCTAATTTGGATCACAAAAACAACAACTTTCTCCTTACCCGACCAAATATCAGACACTGAAATTTGTCAAAATCAGACCCCCAACGATACCAAGACTTGCTCTGATACCAATTTGATAGGAAACACTTGTAGATCTCAAGTATTTCCTATCAATTTTCAGAAAACAATGAGAATTCTTCACAAAAATACGCACAAAATCACGAAAACAGTCGATAATTTATATTATTTTATGAAAGGGAAATAGAAAATAGCAAGATACAATTAATCCTCTATTCGAAAGGAAGATAGATCACTCCCAAATCTTTAGACGCCGCTAGAGCCCAAAAGAAAACCTAAATCTAAGATATCTCAAATTTCAGCCAAATTCCAGAAGCCCTAACCCTAGGAAAACAAACTATTTAATGCATATAATTCAAAAGAAAATCTCTAAACAGTCCCTACATTCAATTTCCCTCCTAAACTTCCTCAAAAAACCTTCCAAAAAATGCTTCGTTAGCTCCTGCGATGGGATCAGCGGAATTAGAGGCGGACGATTTCCGCCTTTGTGTTGCACGGGCCAGTTCCGCATGACTGGCTGGACCGGTCTAACAGCATCTCAGTTCTTTAGGACATAATAAAGATCTATAGCTAAGGCAGACATTTATAGAAGACTGGAGGTTGTCTCAAAGTAGAAACAATCATAATTTCCTTTGTTTCATTATTATGTAAACATTATTTTCCTTTAGCACAGACATTCACTTTAATATAATAACATCTTAATTAATAATTTGTATTATCATAAGAATTGGCCTAGAGTAATGCTTAAGTTGGTCGATTGTTACCTAGAAGGGCATGGGTTTGATTGCAGAATATTCTTTAACAAGCAAGGGGTTTTGTGTGTCATCCATGTGGTCTAAAATGGCAAGAACATTGAGCACGGGTTCAATCCAAGAAACCATATGACTATGATAAATTTTACAGGTAAAGAAAATAAAAGAATGGAGGTTGCATCTATTGATAGTGGCCACCTACATCTCCATGAGTAGTTGAAGGCTTATTCTATTTCTCCTGCACAAATCAACCATAGACTAGAGTCTGCATGGAATCCAAAGAAGTAGCAAACAAATGCAAAAAAGACAACGAATGAGAATATCATGTAAATGAGCACATGATGGACACTAAAACATCTCATCAACATAGATGAACCCTTGATGGTAGAACAGGTACAATGTACCTACACCTATTAAGTACCAAGAGAAAAACATTCAAATAATACTGATGCAGGACTAAAATGCCTAGGGGATGTTAATTAAGGACTTTGCACGCTTTAGTTTAGAGAAAAATATTAATTAAGACTTGTAGTGATTAAACGATGAAATAAAAACAAGAAAGCAATGAAACAAGCTTAGACCAAGTCGCATGCATAAAAGTTAAGATCACATAATAGTCAATTATTCTAACGTTGCATATATGGAAGGATTTCAACGATAAATCCCTACGTTAACAACGAGAGTAATCACTATGAAAAGATCCCTCACTCAACTCTCTAAATCATTATGCTTTAGCGGAAGAACATTAACACTGTCTTCATGAATCAAATAAGACCACAATTGAAAAGCAACTAGGAAGATAAAAGAGTTGGAAGAAGAGTTTACCCAAAGGAAAAGGAGATACGAAGCTCTGGTGTGGTTGTTTGGGTGTTTGAGAGAGAGTGGACAGCACCACGCACCTCCTAGCTGCCTTTGGACAGTACTTTGGTGATTTCTGGATGGTGGAAAGCAAGCTACTTGGGCTGGACTCTTTGGACAGTAAACTGAAACTTCAGGACAGCACATGACGATCTCCTGGCCGGCTGGACAGCATGGAGAAGTGCAGAATTTTTTTGGACAGCCACCAAACACTGTCCAGGAAATCTGGACAGCAATTTGGAAACCCCTAGAATGAGGGTTTAAGAGTTGTTTTGGTAGAGAGGAAGGGAGGAGGAGGTGGGTGGTTGGCCGAGAGGCCCGAGACTAGGGAAGAAAGCTTCTTCCCAAAGAAATATATGAATGAATTTCAGATTTTGGTAAGGGAGGATTTTGTATTTTAAAATTTGAATTTCAAGTAAAGGGAAAAGTATTCCCTAATGAGAGGCTAGATTGAGGCCTTTAGTGGGAGGGGAATTAATGGGGAGAGAGAGAGAGATAGGAAGAGGGGGGCGGCGGCATGGTGAGTGGAGTAGGGTTAGGGAGGGGAATTTAAAACTTACCTAATCAAGGACCTTTAATTGAGAAGGATGATTTAAATCAAATCCAATTTGAAACTGATTTGGACTTGATTTAAGGAACTTTCCAAAAATAGATTATCTATTTTTTGAAGTATTTCAAAATTCAAATTTGATTGAATAATTGATATCAAAGCTTTCCAAATGTGATTGGGTGGAGATGGGAAAGTAATAATGAGAAGTTTGAATTGTGGAGGCAAGGGAATGGGCAAGGGGGCTGGCAGCAAGTGTTAGGGTTAGTTGGGGTTGGTGGCTTGGAGGTGGGAGGGCGTGGCCGGTTGGGGTGTGGTGGTGGTGGGGTTTGACCGAGAGAGAGGAGGGGGGATATGGTTGGCCGGCGGCTAGAAGGGGAGGGTGGGGGTTCGGCCGAGAGTGGGAGGAGGAACTTTGGCCAGCGGTGGAAGGGAAAGGAAGGGAGAATGAGGAGCGACGTCGTCGACTACGAACCCGGACTCTTCCTGCAGTTGGTGGGTATTGCGATGCCCTCACCTCGGGACTTCAATCTCTCCAAAGCTCTCTAGCTCTCAAAAAACTCAAGGATGAAGAAATTTTCATAATAATCATTCATTACCTCTCCAAAGAGGAAGAGGGGATATAAATAGCTAGGGTTTACAATGAACAATAAAAAAGAAACATATGCCCCTAAGGGTCACAAACAACATTCCCTCAAGGGAGGGTAGAAATGAAAAATGCATAAAATAAATAAAATACATATGATAACTCAAAAATAAATCGGCGCGATCAAGGCCATAGATCTTCGACCCCGCCTCTGGTAAACTCTCCAAGGCCTGATGTCCTCATCAAATACCCACCCAAAAACACCAAGGCAATGGAGTTTTTCTTGTACTAACAAAAAAATGTTTCAAAGTCAAATTCCAAATAACTAGTGCTTGTGCTTGTTAAGAACCTGAACAAACGACCAAAAACTAAAACAAACCGAATTAAATCAGCCATCAAAATTAGAAATAAAAAGTGAACCGATCAAAAAGGAAACAATACCAAACCATTTAGTTTGGTTTATTTGGGTTTGAGTTGGGGAAAATGAGTTATGGCTTACATTGGATCCATTCAATTTAATTTGGTATTTTTTATTCATTAAGATTTGCTTAGGTTTGGTTTAGCATAAATTAATAGTGGAAGATATATTTCATTTGTTGCCAATTAAAGAACAAACTTTTTTTTTTTATTCGGTTGATCAAGTTATGTCATGCTTTGCATAGTTTGATTTGGATTTTATTTTTAATTTCCCAAAAATCTGAACCAAAATCGATCAAAACAACCAACTTACGAAAAACTACAAAAACAAACTCAAATCAAGTTGAATCAAATTGCACCGATGGGTAAGCATTTGATAGATCCTTGATCATTGGGTAGAAAATGATAAATAATGTCACCTAAGTACAAATGAATCCTCTCAGGTAAACCAATTAGCTAAAGATAGCAGAAAATCTTATGATGTACTATTCGGTGAAATTTTTATGTGATTGTCATGCCATAAAGGATATAAAGTTTATGTTGCTCATAAGGAATCCTTAATGGATTAGATAATTTTGTGTTGCAATTCTAAACTATAAGATCCATTATTTCTAGATTCCTTTAAAAATATAACTTAACATTCACCAAGGAATTGGGATTTTTGTAGTATATTAAATATCCAACATCCCAAGCCTTTTTCATTGTAGTTTTTAATCATGACCGGGTGAAAATATAGGCCTTTATACTATGGAAGGTTCTAATAATAGGAGGAATGCCATTTTAGAAAGTATAGTGTGGATAAAATTACCATATATTAAATCTTGCACTCTCCACCCACCCAAACCCTCTTGCATTGCAGTTTTTAATCATGACTAGATGAAAAACAAAGCCTTTATGCTATGAAAGGTTCTAAGAATAAGAGGAAAACCACGCTAGTGACTATAGTGTGGCCAATGTTTCTTGCAAAAAGGAAATTCAGACAAAGTTATCATATAATCCTTGAATCTCCCCACAGCCACACAAAAAAAAAAAAAGATAAAATTATTTTGAGATCTCTAACAATTCACTCTCTATGGTCCTATTCCCAAACTATTGAATGGTACATTTTACTTCTCATATGTTTGGGATGCACAGTTATATGAGTATATTTATGATTGGATATTTCATTGAACTGAAATCCTTTTTAATGACTGTTGTACATTCACATTCTTATCACATTTATGAAATTCAATTGATTTAAGGGGTAAATTGGTAAAAGACCTTTCTAATTTTCTATGTTACTCTAACAGTCCCTTTTGAATGCATACATTTCATATTCTTACATCTATAAAAAACTCGGTACACCCTCTAGAGATGCTTTCAACACCCACCTCTCTAACTCTATGGTAGGCCCTTGTTTCACCACTGTAACCTCACGCATTATTTAAATTACAATACAACACCTTATCCTCCTTTCCACTCCTATACAAGCATTTTAATGTCCCTACACCAGAAAGCAACTTATTACAATAATTGGTTGGGTTCTGCAGTTCTTAAACTTCCAGATTAACATGTCTTTGCATGCTATATCAGTAGGTTCGAAAAATTTTGATGCTTATTAGCCAGAAAAAGTAGTTGGTAGCAAATCTAAAACAGAAGACAAAAATCTCTCAAAACAAAACATATAAACGATATGAGGAGTTAAAAACTTAAACTTTCCATTTCTCTAGCTCATATTGTATGAATATAACCTGTTCACAATAAATTTAAAAGAAAAGTAACCAATCAGCCAAAACAAACTCTGAAGAATAAGGAACATCAATGTAATAAAATACATTGATTCAAAGTAAGTTCTATGTTAGCCACAAATCATTCATCTACATCAAATGGGAAACAAACCAAAAAAGATGCATCATAAATGCTCACATTCATGCTATCATAAGTTTGATTTTCATTTGAGAGAATATTTTAAAAAAAATGAAGAGCACGTGACCCTCTAATACAAGCGTTGAAATAGAATAACAAATTAGTGTATTATCTAATAACTGTCAAGATGATTGGCAAAGAATGAAATCAGGCCTTCCATTTTATTATTGTTATGAAAGGAGTTTTCACTAATAATCTAGCCGTATTTACACTGAAATCTTAAGCAAAAAAAAAAAAGCTAAGCAAACGAATGTGACTGAAAATAGCTTTCCAAAAAGAGCATGCCAGTTGGTCATTCCAATTCACCCTAAACTTCAAAATTTATTTTAAAGTATGTTTAAGAAGGTTCAGAACTTGAAGTAGAAAATGAAAACCAAGAGAAGATGATGCCATGCTCATCAATTATAACTGTCAGACAAGGGAAAGGCTAACGGTTCCTGTGAAAAAATAAATGAATATGAACAAAACCGTGCCCACCTAAGAGAGTTTGTTGAGTTCAACGTAACACTCTCCTTTATAGAAAAGAATCTAGCATTCACAATCGATGCCCCAAGAAACAATGGTAGCGATGATGCAAATCACGCTCTTTATTTCCTTTTCCTTTGATTGCATTAACATCAGAAAGAAAAACAAAAGGAAATCATGCAAACTTCTTTGCTGCTCTTGGAGTTAGACTCTTACCCTTCAGTATCAATTCCTTTTTAATAATCCAACACTCTATCAGGAATTTAAATGAAACTTTATACAACATTTTCTTAGGACCATTTTTAGGATTACTACTGACTAGGAAACAACTAGACAAAATAGTTAATTGCTTTTATATTTTCTTTTTGGATTGTGTTTGAACAATAAGTGACGTGGATCAATTTGATGAAAAAATCATGTTAGTAATTAGTGGCAAAGATTTAATAAAATAAATACATGTCAACACACTTCCAAGCACTTCTTAAGCAAACATTTATCCAACTATTTATGAACCCAAGTGCATAGCCCTTCCAGTCACTTCAACTGCAAAAAAATGGCACCAAGATAAGAGAGATCAATGTTGTTTTCCCATCATCAAAGTAAACCTGAAACTGAACTACACAGTTTCATTTTCTTCACCAACACCAAGAGAATCAGTTTTATTTATAAAGTTAAAGAGAGAGAGAGAGAGAGAGAGAGAGAGAGAATAAAATTCATTGATAAATTATGCCATAATATAGGAAATCAATTTCTAAGTACCTCCCTTAATGGATGATTAAATTTCCTGTCCATCACAAATGTATCGGATCCAGTCTGCAGATAATAGGAACAATTAGACTCACTAACTTCTGAGGATAACCATTGAAAACAATCTTTAGACCATGGAAAAAAAAACCTCATCACTTCTGATTCTTGTATCCTTTTCCACAGCAGTGATCTCCCGGTGATCTCCAGCCAACCCCATTTTATTATCTTGTTCCACCTTCGTGAACTCTTTATCCTCCATTGTACCGGTTGATGTGGTCATAGGCATGTGTGGATGGCCAAACCCTAAATTTATATTTTTAAACAATGATAAGAGTCCCAGAGACAGCTTCACCATTCGCCCTAATTCAAGAAGAAAACTTCAACTCATAAGAAGATTAGAAAGAAGGTCTAGCAATATATTTGCATTTTTTGATAAAGCAATGTTCGAATCAAAGTAAACAATTTCAATATCTTAGCATAAAAAATAACATTTCTAAGGAAATAACACCACTTCATTAAAAGTCGCTATCCCGCATCTATTAGATAAGATAATTAATGGCTAATTTCAGGTTGAAAGGAATATTTAGATAAATTATAAGTGCAAAAGTGATCAAAAGTTTCTTAAACATCCAAGGTGGATGCAAAATAATTTTGGAATATATGAGAATTTATCACGTATGGATTATTTACATAAGTCTATGTAGCTTACGGGAGTTAAAAGCTGGGTACTTCTTACATATTCCAGCTAAATGAAGCACACAACATCACACAATTGTGTACTCTAATTAAATGGAGTACACCGTAAGTGCATAGCTATGTCCTCTAATAATGTGCATCTAGAGCTACTTATGTAGTACAGACATAATACTTTCTCGGGGTAAATGGAGAACTAAGCTAACCATTCATCGCCAATGATAAATGTTTCATAAAAGAACTTGGCTTAGTGAACACATGTCAAAAATACCTGTGTGACCAATTTATAGAAAGAAAACTCGTATCTAGGTAAAAATTCAACCCACTGTCAATATATAAATAGCACATTTCATTAGTATTCAATCATTTTGAGGGCTTACAAAACCTGGAAAGCTTTAAAGGATATTGTTGGTACTTTCCTATTATATATTAGGTTAGGCTATAATGAGATTTGCTCTAATACATGAGTATTCAATCATTTCACTGCAATCTCATATCAAGCATAGTGTCATTTAAGAAAAGATTTTAAGCACAGTCAAAGGAAATAGACTGTTAGTGTAGGTACCCATCATGTTGGATTATTCTGACAAGGGTAAAAGGGCATGAAATTCAGTTACTGTGGCAACTAAACTTTGACTGCGCTTTCGCTTTGGATAGAGAGAATCGGACGGAGAGAACCCGGTGTCCCCACCTAATAATTTGTGATTAAAAACAACTATCGATAACTATCTTTTGTTTTAATTATAATATAGATTTGCTCATCCTGAAATTCAAAAAATTGTCTTGTAATTCAAAAGGAATTGAAATTTTAGTTCAGGATATACTCATAAAAGTTCTGTCCAGATTGGTGCATGCAAGGTTCATGATTTCTCGTAAGAAAGCATGGGGCTGGGATGTCGCGGAGTAAGAAACATATCAAACTAATAACATACCGGACAAAAACAAAGTTGAAGCAGCGAGATAGGGGGATAAGCATTGAGGCATTGATGATGATCATAGCAAGAACTTGCTCAGATGGGTGCGATGAGAGCAAAAGCATGAAAATTTCAAAAGTAATTTAAGATGGAGATTCAAAAGGCAAAATAGAAAATAAAGGCAACCCCAGGTAGAAACCCCGTCGTAAGTAAATATTACAAAATTCGTCAATTAAACAACTAATTCCACCAAGCAAGATTGACAAGAAGGAAAAACAACACGATAACAACTAATGCCAAGACGAAGAAAAATAACCATAGAAAGACATACGAAGCGCTAACTCGGATAAAATTCAAGGCAATACGAAGGGGCGATGTGGAAGTGGAGGCAGTTACCTAAGCGGGAGGATGCGTGGCGATAGAGCGGGAAGGCAGAGGGTCACCAGGAGAAGGCGGAATGAGTGCAACCAAAAGCCGGCGACTTTAACGGAGACGTCAACGGCGAAAAAAGATCAACAAAGAGGCGCGTCCTTCTGCTTTATTTCTGATGTCTAGTGACATTTTGAGTATCAGGCTATCAGCCATTAATTCGGGTATTTGGAAAGGAAAGCGACGCCGCGGCGTCGGGGATGGGGCCTCTATCCACTCCTTCTACCCCGCTTTCGAGGTTCCTACTTATTACTAATATTCGGGATTATTGCAAAAATAATAATAATAACTTAAAGAAGTTTTAATCCCGTTAATTTGAGTAACCTCTCACTTAAATATGCACCCGTTTATTACATACACATTTTGGTTAAAAAGGTAAAATTTTAACAAAAATATAGGATTCAACATTTATAACTTAAATATGTCATGAATAGGTATCTGAGGTAGATTTTGCAATTTCTTAAGTCTTACATTGAGGGTGATCATCCAAATAATTTTTTTAAACAATTCAAATGATTTTCTAAGTTAGGGTGTGCGAAGGGCTTGGTGTTCGAACACAGTCGGGTCATTCAAAAGATGGGCATTAAGCATGAGGTCGCAAACGAGCCTTTAGATGCGGATGACAGAGCGTGCGAATGGGCACTGTTCGAATCGGGCCTTCATATGCTAATGAAGTTGAGCATGCAAAGGGGTCATGGTTTGTGAATGGGAGTGGAACCTTCGGCAATATACCTAAGTACGCACCAACCAGTTAGGCACTCATAAAATTTTTTGGTTCAAGTTGCATACCTTACTGGTAGTTTAATGTACTTTATCAAAGCTATTCAAGTGTTTGTAAAAGTTAATTAATCGAAACTTTCTTTTTATAATTTTTTAGTGTCACAACGCTCTTTTAAAAAAAATTACATATAAATTTATTATAATCTGAAACTCCACATTTTTAGAGGTACAAATTTAAGTTTTTTTATAATTTTTATTATATTATTCATAATTAAATTCAAGACCATTAAAACTTTAATTTTAGCTTTAACTTGGATGTTGACTTAAAATTGGTGAGAACTCAATCATTAAGCCACCACCATCAGAGCACTACTTTCCAACCATCACTAGCAGTTTGCTAATTATTGCCATCCATTCACCATAGTTGAATAACTATCACTCAACCATCACCATCGAACCTCCTTCCTCTGACCACCAATTATGATCCTTCGATCGAACTATAGTCATACAATCATTATCACCCAACTACAATATTTTGTTCACCATCTCTCGACAACCATAAATCACAATCACCCAACCATTATGACCCAAATATGATATTCTAACCACTACTACCCGACTCCAGCTTACTGACTATCATCACCCGAGTAGGGTTTCCAACCATTATCAGTAACTTTGTTCTTCTGACAACCATTGTCCAACTTCAATTCTTTGGCCACCTTCATTTGACTAAAATCATCTAACCATCATCACTTGACTAAGATGTTTAAACCACCGCCATTAAACCACAATTCTCTAATCATCATCATTAAACTACAGTCCTTAAACTATTGTCACCTAATAACTATCCTCCGACCAACATCATTTAACAATGGTCCTCTTGCCATGTTTGCAAAACTATGATCCTCCTGCCGCTATCACCAAACTACAATCTTCCAACCACTATCACCCAACTACAACCATTTTACTACAATCACCTAACCATGATACTCCAACCACCATTATTGAACGACGATCATTCAACCACTATAGCCAAACTTGACCCTCAAACCATCGTAATCCAACTATAGTCCTCTAATCACAATCATCAAACTATGATCATGCAATCATCATCCCCCAATTTAAGTTGCTCAATAACGATCCTACAACTTCCATCACCCACTGCCAAACTATGAACCCCCAACCATCGTGCCCATCTATGATCACTCTACTACCATTCCATTCAATCCTCCGACCACCATCACCTCACTTTAATTTTTTGGGTGACAAGCACATTAAATTGATTAATAAAACATAGCTGAATTTTTTGAATAAAGTACTATGATAACCCTAAAATTTAAATATTTGAATTAATTTTAAGAGAAATATAATAACTTTAAAGCTCACCCTAACTATTTTTTAGTGAGGAGATTATCTAGAGATTTTTTTTTCTATTATTATTGGAAAGAAAATTTTAATCAGGATGGAGCAATCGTCCAAGCACCTAAAGCATAAACACCACAATATATATGTTCAATGTTAATCCACAACAAATGGAAGAAGAAACAGCTATTGAGCAATACAGAAATAACCAATCGAGTCTACATGAGAAATAATCTACAGATATCTTTAGATCCTACTTCTCCTTTCTGGATTCTTTGCGCATGCCTCTCTTGCGGATATTTTGGCAGAAGCCAAGGCGCCATTTATCAACTGCAGCTACAGGCAACAATGAGACCAAGGTCCATACAAGAGAATGAGGCCAGTAGGGCGTGCATCTCGGTTCATAGCCAATCCAATCTACGGTGGCGCGGGCATAGGTGTCAGCTGATGGCACGAAGAAGGAAGATCTCCGAATCGATGACATCTTCGTTGCGACGTATAAGGGTACCTGTTCAGAACCAGGCATGAGATAATAAAGAAAGAGAAATCCACCATTAAGGTTTCGGTATTCCATGAGAAAATAGCAGAGCTCACGAAGCTCGAGATATAGGCTTCGTTTGGGACAGCTTTCTTATTGCTTATAAAAATAATTTTTTAGTTTAAATATTTAAATTTTTGTAATAAAGCCGTCTCAAACAAAGACATAGTAAGTAAACTCCACGTAAGATAACAATAGTGCCCTTGTCTCGGTTGGCGTGTAAATACCACAAAAACCATATGCTACAAAAGATAAAAAGCATCTAGAACCTAAATGCGCTCCAAGGCAAATACTCTTCAATGAGGAGCTTAGTTATTGGAAAATCATAATAGGAGTGGTTTATCATTAGAAGCAAGTTATTGACCATAAAGATAGGGGCCCTTCAATTTCCTCTTTGATGATGGTTTGGTTAAATTCAATCATAATTAAAGGGGATTCTCACTATAAAATTGTCCTATCAAATTCTTAAGAAGATAAATTCATTCTCTATACAACAACAATATCAAGCCTTTGTCCCACTACGTACGGCTACATGAATCTTTTTTCTCCATTGTGTCATGTTAAAAGTCATATTATCGTTTAAATCTAATAAATAAAGATCATTTCTAATATTTTCTAACCAAATTTTTTTAGGTCTACCTCTACCTTTCTTAACATAAGTCAAATCTAATACCTATACTTTCCTAACCGGGTCATCGGAAGGCCGCCGTTTTATGTGACCAACCCATCTAAGACAACTCTCTCTAATCTTATCTTCCACTGGAGCTACTCCAACCTTTTCCCATATATGCTCATTTCGTATCCTATCTCTAAGGGTTAAGCCACTCATCCTCATCTCTGCAACACTTAACTTAGCATTATAATTCTCTTTTAATGACCAACATTCGGCACTCTAAAACATTGCAAGTCTCACCACCATCTTATAAAGTTTTCCCTTAAATTTGAGAGGGGGCTTTTCTATCACACTAAAAGAGAAGGCCGGTTAAAAAAGGGGTGCAACACAAGGACTTCCGAGGAGGTCACTATTGTTAAATTGAAAAAGACCCATTAAACAAGCTTTCACCTCAAGTTTATAAGACCCTCTTGGACAATGCAACTCATAGTTATGAACAAGGATCAATCTGTAAGACTTGCTTGATCAACTTAGTTAACTAAATATATTAGGGCACATGACAACCTCGGATAATAGAATCATAGGAATATATTATTTCCTCAAATCTAAATTATTAGGATTGAAACAAAACATCATAAAACCTATAGATTAACTTTAATCAAATGCTTTTTTTAATGATTAAAAGGGATAATTAATTATAAAGACTTCTGCCAACAAAAACCCTCAAACTATATAATGAAGTATTCGTTTAGAACAAAATCCCTTAATAATGTTTTATCCAAATCCAAATTACCTTCGGAAGAACAAATCTGAACCATCCAAATATGATCCGAATCTAATGGAATTTTTCAAAACCCACAAAGGTTTTCATATGAGATTGGTCAGTAAAGCTGACCAAATATCATTCGCAACTTCCAATGCAAACATGTTATTTTACTATGGTACGTAAATTTACTCTACAGATCTTTTTAGATCTGTGAGTGTCGAACATGTTTTTACTAGAAGATGTTTGCTCAAAAAAGATAACAAAGATAAGTTGTCCAATGTTCTTGTTATCCCACTTGTATTGCTTTTCTCTATGATTTCCTTTCTGCAATTAATGATTTAAAAAATAGAGATTGGTTTTATGCTTCTGTATGAGAAAAACAAAAGAAAGACATGCAAGAAAATAGAATAAAACTTATTTTAGCAGATAGCATAAATATAGCATTATGGACCCACGAAAGATTGCCTAACATCAGAAGACTGGTAACTGGGATTTATAGAGATAAAGAGTTGCAATTAATAATGTCATGCACGCTAGAAACCGTCGTACGGAGAGCTGGTAACTAGAATCTAGCAAGTGTAATAAGCATTAAATAATTGAAACTAAGTATCAGGTTGTATTCATTAATCATTGGATAAAGTCCATCAATGAGGATACACATTAACTTTCCAAAACCATAAACTGCACTAATACTCTACTTGCAAATCTCTTAGAAAATCTCATCGTGAAACGCTAGTCTTCAATTCTGCAAGTGGCTCATTTGATCCACACATGATTCTAAATGAGGATATTGGTCCTCTTTTACAATGGTAATTGCACGGTGCAATCAGCCCATCTCACTCATTCATTGATGCCAGAATTCGAAAAAAAATTGAAAATGCTAAACACAGGAATGTGAAGTCAATTAGGGGCATCTTACCTGGCATTGCACATCTATTCCCATATCCTTGTACTCAACGTAAAGGCATTTTGAAAATTGATCAACATACCTGTAAATAGATGCATTGCTTTGTCAGGAAAGCCTAAAAAAGATCAAGAAATGATATTGAACAGAACCACACCAGCAAAAATAATTAAGCAATAAACTTACCTGCTCTATTCATTATTTTTTTTTTTCATCAAGAATATCAAAGTACAACGTAGAAGGTATATGTTTGTTGTCCTCTCTATCTAAGTTTTTTTTCACAGATGTACATTCGAATTGGCATATTGTTGAAACAACCATCATGTGATGCAAGGTTTGTGTGGCTCATTAGTGATTTTAATGATAACTAATCTTATGTAATATCACTAATAATTTGTCAAGTGTTGCTACAGGTAATTCAATTAGTAGCAACTATGGAGATGATGCTCATTATAACTATATCACTTAGAGCTGTGTTGGAGGTGAACCCAAATGGAGAATTCAGCAAGGGGCTGTTTGATTGAATGTCTTTAAAACAACCGCAGTTTAGACACGAAGAGTAATTGGAATGCATATATTTCAAATATATAATAGTTGTTAAGTTGGATGCATATCAGAGTAGTTACTTAATTAGATGTAAATAGCTTGGGAGCCGGATCGAACTTGACTCGATAACGAGCTCACGAGCTTGAGCTTAAACTTGAGCTCGACTATTAAGCGAGCTTGAGAAAGCTCGAGTATTAGCAGTCAGAATTCTTTTCAAAAAAATTAATAAATGTTTTTACTCGGTTTTGAAAATATGGAGGCGTTTGAATGGAAAAAAAAAACTACAAGATATTAAAGATGCTATTTTCCAAAAAAAATTAATAAACCTATAATTTATTATTATTAAAACTACAATAACTTTGCAACCTCTATGCAGTAACTCCGTAGCTTTATATATATATATATATATATATATATTAAAAAGCAAAGGCCACATGCCAAAGGAAAAAAAGCTACAATTCAAGTTTTTCTTCATCGACACCTTTCCTTCTTCTGCTGTTCTTCTTTCACTCGCGAGCTGGCTTGGTAGCCTGCCTCTATTGCCGTGAGCTGAGCTTGAACACACCCTTTGAGCTTGAGCTCACGATTTTGTTGGCGAGCTTAGCTCGAGTTAAGCAAGACTCGAGCTCGACTAGACTCATTTACACCCCTAGATGCAAATCAGATGCATTGAAATACTATATACTAATGAGTGAATAATATAAAACATAAAAAAAGCATAAGATATGAAGTGAAATCAAAATATCTCAACAATAAGACAACATGAAATATAGTTCAACTCAAAATTCTATCTTTTCCAAATCCTACTATTCTTTTCATTAACATATAATTCCAATTTTCAAAAATAAATAGCAATGACATATCACATAAGAACTCATAAGTTATTAGCACTGTCATCACTAAGAGGTTCTTCATTTGAATCATCATTATGGTGAACTGCTCTCTCCCCTTCCTCCTCTCCAATAGAGTCCAATGTCGGGCATTTACTTTAAGATTTATGTAAGTTTTAATATATATAGCGTGAGGCGTAAACCTCAAGCCAGTGAGGCGAGGCGGGCCTTAACCAAGTTGAGGCGCAAGCCTCATAAAAAAACTCGAGGCATAAGCATAGAGGCGTTTTTTACTGGAATTGCGCAAGCCTCAAGGCGAGCCTCATATTGCGCAATTTTAAATCATGGTTTTAAGTATCCATATTAACAATGGTCGATTTCGATTGAAATAAAAAGTTGATAACAAGCTGATTGTAATTTTTTGTATGTTTTGATTTTGCATCTCATTAGAGGTTACATTAGTAATCTTAGACCCTTAGCTGTCCTAAAAATTGAAATCAAAGCTTAGGCTGGTGTCACATGCGACTCAAAAGTGAAATAAATAATAAAGGTTAGTTATCAGATCACTACAAGGATGAGCCTTAACCATTTTACAATACTAACTAGGATAGTTCTTAACAAAACATGATTAACTCTGCATAGTCGTAATTCAGATTAACGAGCAGCTTGCTATGATGAAACAAATAAGCTACACCTACAAGAGCCAAATAATAAATCCAACCTTAATGAAGAGATTATTCACAACATCATGGGAAGATTAGAGACTCTCCATAAAAGAAGCAATAGAGGTAAACATTGTTAAGAATACGCCAATAAAAATATTGATAGTCATAAGAGATAACATTATCATACTGATGAAATCAATAAAAAAGTAAGTATAATAGTTTACTTTCGATAGCAATATAGATCCAAAAGTGTTTCAAACCAAATGAATGATAGGAAAATTTACTTTTATTGGCAATTGATGTCTTGTGAACGACAAATAAGACTTGCAAAACAAAAGTGCACTCGAAAAACAAAGATGTATTATGCAGGTGTAAAATGGCAACGGGAATGATCATGGCTAGAATCAACAACCACATGGTTTGAAAGAAATTGTTGTTAAAAGAAAATACTTGCCTTCATTCAATCAAGATATTTAACTCACTAAAGTACAAAACTAAGACTATAATTGAATAAATGAATACATTGAAGAATTGTTGTACAATTTAAGATTATGGAAGAACCTAAAATAGTACTTTCTAGATTTAGCAATAGCTTAAGACTTAAACTTAAAAGAGAAATGACACCACATAATGTTACCTCACTTAAGAAGGCTTTCAAACTTGCTTTAGATTTGGAACATCTAAAAAAATTTCCTACACCTAAAAAATATCTTCATATGTGGGGAATTTTTTTTTTTCTTTTCAGTAATCCAATTCAAGCAACCAACTCTAATGCTAGTAAAACAACCTTCAATAAAACAATAAAAAAAAGAAAATTGGCAGCCACGGGATTGGGATCCAAATTTTTTGCAAAGGTTTATTTTAGATGTCACAAACAAGTCACTTTTTATAAGAATGTCTCAGTAGAAACTTGCATAGTAATATTGAAGAAGAAAACGAGAATGATGAAAGGGAATACGTTTATGAATTTGATGATGAAATAAGTGATTTTGAGACCACTTCGAACATTATGGATGATCATTATCATGCTTATTAAAGTCAAAACTCATTGGAAAAAAACTTCCATTAATTAGACACTTTAAATATAATAAAAAACTATATAAGTTCATCATTGATGGTGTGAGTTCCATGAATGATGTTGGCAAGTCATCTCTTGAACTTATGATGTTGCACAGATAACTAAATCACACCTTACAGCCTTACGAAGTAGCTTGGGTAGAAAAAGCTGCAATTTTCATAACTCAAGGGGCATGATCCCTATTCAACTTCCCAATTATACCGATAAGAATTGGTGTGATATCCTAACAATTGATGTTGCACATGTTATTTTATAACAACCTAAATTGCATGATTTAGATGCAACTCATTTTAATTTTTAAGTCCAATATCTACCATATAAGGTTAATGGCAGGAAGATTGTACTAAATCCTACCAAGACTAAAATTCCTATTGCATCCAAAGAACCAAGCACACTAATGAACTCGAGAAAACTCTGCAAATTTTGAGCCAAATATGATTTCAAAAGAACAAAGTGGAGGGAATAGTTGATGTTTTGATCGTTATCGAATTGAACCAAGAGACAAATAAAAGTATATCAGTGCTTGAAAATGTTAGTTGATTATTATGTGAATTTAAAACACTACGTCATGAAAAAACTACTTCATGAATTATCACCACTTAGGAACATTCAATGCGCCATTTATTTGAACTTAGATCATCATTATTAAATTTATCTCGTTATAGAATGAATCCTCCTGAGCATAACACACTAAAATGACAAGTAGATGAACTATTAAGAAAATGTTTATTAAGGAGAGTATGATCCCTTGTGTATTAACTAATCTGCTCACAACTAAGAACATAAGTCAGAAAATGTGATTAGATAGTCGATTGATTAATAAAATGTACCGATTCCCCTACCAATATTACATAATATGCATGCCGTTAAATTTTGGAGATCATCAAGTTCTTGAACACAATACGCATTCCAGGATTAGCATTTGGCTTTTTAGCCGCACGAAAGGACTCTCGCGTTGGCATTGAACAACCAATCTACTATGGGAACCTGACAGAAATATTCAGGTGGCTGTGGTATGGTAAATATGCTCCTTCCACTTCCGACCAAATTATGTGGAAATTGGCATAGTCTAATTGAGGGCAGCAACTGATTTGTGGCAATATTGTTAGTTACTGTTTTCTTTCACTTCTTTTCTGAAGTTTGGAATTGTTGGTGATTATAAAATAATTGAGCAGAGTCATTCTTTTCTTTTCTATTCTATTGTATTTCAAATTATGTGGAAGTTGTGATAGCTAAATAAATCTACTCAAAATTGTCTATGCCTTTTAGTTCCGCGTCAAGATAGGAAGAAGCTTTAGCAGATGAGAAAAGAAGATGGTAATAACAACATTAATACCTCTTCTCTTATTTTCGCAGTAGGTGACTACGTTCACTCAATCATTGACATAGATAAAATAGCATCTCTATTCTTATCTTCTTATGCATAAAAGAAATATTTGATGCCCTTCTATTTTAAAGCTTGTTAGAATATTTGATCTCTATGATGATGTAGACGTAGATGAATATCAATGAATCATATAAACTTATTGATGCACATTACATAAAAAAGTTAAATTTCTATCATATTTTAAAATTATCGATGAACCTTCTTACATAACAAAATGGTAATTTATTGAAGTCACTAAACTACATGATTTAACTATAACGACTGTATTAAAAAAATATAAATTTATGAATTAATTTTAGAAAGAGAAAGTGAACTCAGTTAAAATTTAAAGTGCTTATCACACAAACCAATGATCAAAATAAAGCAATTAATAAGATATGGAGAGATTGATTACATTGTCTGATTAAAGAACATGCATATCGGATGATCTAATATTATCTAATGCTGAGTTTGCATATAGATTACATGTTATGAAGTTTATGAGCATAAGTCCAATTAAAATTATCATAGGGTATTCGCCTCCTGTTGAACTTCCAATTAAATCTAGTCCGAGTGAATATGCACATCATATGCATGATT